AAATGCATGTACTTGATTTCTGATTGTTTTAATTATGTAAATCTTTATTTAATTTGAAAAAAAATATTTTATTTTAATATTTTTGGGTGTCTGGAACGGATTAATTTTATTTCCATTATTTCTTATGGGGAAAATGGTTTCGAGCTTCGTGAATTTCGACCTTCAGCGGGCTCTCTGGAACGGATTAACCCTTTCAGGGTTTCAGCCTTACTAGTACGGCTTATGAGCCAGGGTTTTTGACGTACTAGTACGCCTAAATTCTAGTGCCCTCAAATCTAGTGAGAGAAAGCTGATGGGCCTACATATGAAAGAATGGGTCTATGTGGTCAGTGTGCGTGGTATAAAAAAATCCTGCAGCACACAGTGCGTAATGAGAAAAAAAAAACGTTGACCATGTTTTTGGATTAAAACAGCGACTTTGCACTGCATTTTCGTATGGTATTTATTGTTGTATTCTAGTTTTCCTGGTCTCATTTTATAGAATGGAAGACATATTACAGAAATTGAGATGATTTTGGCTGGTTTTACAAAGAAAAGTACCTTGAAATTGAGCTCAAAGTAGCAGAAATATTCGATTTTTACCAAAGTTCAAAAGTAAACAAACCATGCTATGCGTCCAATACACGTCAACTGGTGAGTCTAATATTCTTTCACAAGTGCGCTGATATTATTTATACCATTTCTACACCAATGCAGTAGTCTGCATAACAGTAAATATTCTATTTTTTTGTGAGAATAAAAATTCAAAGTGGAAAGCAAAAGAATGTAAGAGGGGCCTGGGGACGTGACTAATGAACAGAGGAAATGTTGTTTTAGTGCCAGGAATGTCTTTCTTGTTTATTCTGGACCCTATTCGGAAATTGGCATCTTTTGAAATTTGTGTGAAATTGGCAAAATTGCTAAATTCTGACCACTGTATTGGATAGTTGAAATCGGTAAATGGGTGGTTTCTTCTACTCATTCGATAGAAAAAATGGATTTCTAGCAAAATAGCTATGATTTTTGTCGGCCAGTACACTGAATTGGCCGAAAATAGGGCTCAAAGTGGGCAAAATCGGTGATGCATAAACATTGTCGAGACCGCTAACTTCGCGAGAGCATAATTCTGTAAGTTTTCCATCAAATTTCATACTTTTGGTGTCATTATGATCTGGAAAAGATTCTCTATCTTTTCATAAGAAAAAATAATTTTTTTTTTTGAAATTTGGCTGACCCTGAGAACAAGTCTCTGAGAGGGCCTGTCGACCCTGAAAGGGTTAATCACGAAACTCGGGGGTCCACTGTATAAGTATATGCAGTATGTATGTGTATTTGTGTGTACTCGTCAATTTGTACATACTTGTGGTTGCAGGGTTGATTCTCAGCTCCTGGCTCTACCTGGAGGGGGTTTCAGAGGTCAATGCCCCCGCAGCTTGGTCCATGACCAGACCTCATGGTGGATCAGGGCCTGATCAACCAGGCTGTTATTACCAGACACACACAATCCATCACATGAACCACAGACCAGCTGGTCAGGTACTGACTCTTAACTTGCCACTCTTCAGATTCACTCCCCCTTATCCTTGTGGATTTTATCGTACTTGTTCTTAAAAATACATGTATGTGTGGGATCTGCCTCCACCACTTACAAACTGAAGAAATACTTCCTAACATTCATTCCTGTGGCTTATCTGTAATGTCAGCTTACATCTTCTCACCTCTCAAACAGCCTGTCCTTGTCTACCTCATCAATTTCCCTGAGCATTTTATGTTGTCATCATGTCTTCTCTGGTTCTTCTGTCCTCCAGTGTTATTAAAAATTAAAGATTTTTTATTTCAGCATTGTGTAATGATACAATGTTTGTATAAAGATAATGACACTTAGGTGTGCAAGTGGAAAGCCCCTTAGTATGCAGACCATAGGGCCAATTATATAAGGTCCAATTAAATTAGCCTCTCATTGTAGCTCATGCCCCGTAGTTCAGGAAAATCCTTGTTGCATACTTCTGCACTGTCTGCTGTTTCTGAACCTACTTTCTCAGGTGTGGGATTCCATACTGGTGCTGCATACTCTAAGATGAGCCTAATGTATATTGTATAAAGGAACCAGAATGACTATTTGTTGAGATTTCTGAAGGCTAAGCTTAGATTTGACAGGCAAGTACTGGCTGCAGAGGATGTTTGGCCGATATGAGCCTCTGGTGATATACTGGGCACTATGCTCACCCTTAGATCTTCCTCTTTGAGTGAAGTCTGCAGCCTGATCCATTAGTTTATACCTAATTTATGGTCTTCTTGCTCCTTCCTGCTTGTATGTGTACTCACCTATTTGTGATTACAGGGCTTGAGTCACAGCTCCTGGCCCCACTTCTTTTCTGGTCAATGTGTGTATGAATATGTGTATGTGTGTATGTATGTGTGTGCCATACAAACAGACATTCATAATTTCATACATACATACATATATTTTTTTTAACACAGTGGACATCTCCTACTGAGGCAGGGTGACTCAAAGAGGAAACAACAGCTTTTCTTCTCTTCACATTTAATAATTTATACAGGAGAAGGTGTTACTAGCACCTTGCTCCCAGCAGTTAGAACTTTATACAAGAGAAGGTATTACTAGACCCTTACTCCTGGCATTTAGTAACTTATACAGGAGGTGTTACTGGCTCCTAGCTCACAGCATTTTAGACACCTCTTCCAATATGAGTAGCTTAATGAGGAAGGATTCTTCTCCACTTCTCCATATACATAAGTATATAAATACATACATACTACATACATACACAGTATACTGTATATATGTAAATATAGAAGACATTAAGTGTGTTAGGAAATTTCTTAGTATTCTATTCATTTCCAAAAATAATCAGAATGACTTGTACATATTAATCACATGGCAATAATAAATTATAAAAACACACAATTATATGTAAATATATGAAGTTTTATGATTGGTTTATTAAAAGTTTATGATAATGGAGGCAGCACTTACTGCTGTAGTGGAGGGAGCTGGGACTTTGTTACTAGTGAAGGCAGGAGAGCAGGTACTTGTAGTTCTTATACCCCTCCTTCTGGTATGTTTGTTAGTGCTTGCACGAGTACTAGCTGTAGAGGAGGGGATGTGAGGGAAGTGTTTGGAAGAGGAGTCCATGTGTGAGGGAAGTGTGTTAGTGTGGGAAGAACGTGTGTTGGTGTTCGGTGGGTGAGTGTTGGTGTTTGGTAGGTGAGTGTTGGTGTTTGGTAGGTGAGTGTTGGTGTTCAGTGGGTAAGTGTTGATGTTCGGTGAATGAGTGTTGGTGTATGATAGATGAGTGCTGGTGTTCAGTGGGTGAGTGTTGGTGCTCTGTGGGTGAGTGTTGATGTTCGGTGGGTGAGCGCTAGTGTTCGATGGACAAGTGTTGGTGCTTGATGGATGAGCATTGGTGCTGAATGGATGAGCATTAATGTTCGATAGATAAGTGTTGGTATTTGATGGGTGAGTGGGGGATACAACATTAGTAAGGGAGGGATGGTCACTGTGGTGTTTGGTTGAGGCACCAGTGTGCAATGGATGAGTGCTGATGTGTGATGGATGTATGCATGATGCAGTGTTACTGATGGAGGGACAGTCAACACAGTGTTTGAAAGAGTTGATGTGCAATGGATGTAAAATTGATGCACCATCGGCAACGTGTGCAGGAGAGTGCAAGCAACTCGCATTCAGGATGACAGGGTTCGAAGCAATATTTTGACATGAACTGCAACACTTATCCGAAGTAGCAGAATTGCTTGCACTTGTATTTACAATGTCTGTTGCAAACATGTTTGTAAACCCAAGAGGTATGACAGTTTTTGGAGAGGGAGAAGAGGCATCTTTCTGGGTTTTCTTAGTATACCCAGGAGAGGAAGAAAATTTTGACGATTCCCTTTTTCTTGTGTTTGCATTTATGTGGCATTCTTTAGATGAGGATTCATTCTTTTTTCTTTCTTCTGCTTCCTTTTCCATCATCTTTGCCATTTCCTCTTTCTTCTCCTTCTGTCGAGTTTCAAGTTCATGGGAGAATTGGTCAAGCTCTGCCAAGATACCAGATATTGCAGTTGATACTGGTGGTAATTTTGATAATGTGGATAGTCACGTTCATAGTTTGATGAAAGATGGCAGTAATGGCAGTGATGGTGGTGTTGGCAGTGATGGCAGTGATGGTGGAGTTGGCAGTGATGGCAATGATGGTGGTGATAGTGGTGATGGCAGAGGTCAGTGTGTTTTTGTGATGCCAGCTTATGTCAGGTGGTCAGTGGTTGTCAGGACACCATGTGTCAGTGGTGAGGATTATGGCAGCGGTGGTAGTCATGGTAGAGGTAATGTGGCAGTGATGGTGGAGGTGGTGGTAATAGTGGTGAAGATAATGTAGTGTGGTAGTGGGCAAGGTGGTGGGAGGTAAGGAGAAGGACAGTAATGTTAGCATCTACGTAAGATTGCACAAAAACCTTACAAGTACATCACAGAGAGCCTTAGTAAATTTGCCATCATAATATCAAGCTGAACCACTGACTAAGAAGCTCTTCTTTCTCTAAATATACAAACTACAATATCAACTTCAACAAAAATACATTATCCAGCATTACCTCAAATGGCATCAGAAGCATAAAAATCATAAACTTCTACTACAGATACTATAAAAAATAATATATTTTCTACTTCATATATACTGCTTGACATAATGATGGTAAATATTCCCAGGTCTCCAGTATCACCCTAATGTTCACTGGGATCATTTAAAACATTATTTTTTTGTGGTCAAAATCTTCCATCATATACTGCCTGAGTGTCTTTTTATAAATTACCAAATGTTGAGTGTGAATGTTGAATGAACATTTCAACATTACAGCTGCAGAATACAGCAAGAACTTTATTTAAAAGATATTTTTCAGGTTAATTTAAAGAACTAAAAATCGACTACACTGAGAGTCCCCAAAAATTATAATGATCCCAAGGAACATTAGGACTCTAAACGATCTTATTTCTAGGGCCTGACCTTGAGGATCTTTGCCTGGGCTTGTGCCTGGGAGAGAACCTCGGTGATCTTAGCGGCTGTCAGCTTGTCTGTCACTGAGCCCATCTGACACATGAGGCGCTCCATAGCCTTCTCCGTCTCCTCCAAGCGACGTCGAAGGTGGTCCAATTGTTCATCCTCTGTGGACCCTCATGCAAGTTATTTCCCTTGAGTTTAAGTGTAATACAGTAAGCCTTCAATTTAACAAAACCTTGATTTAACAAATCCGCTGAGTCAATTGATTTAGAAACAACAGACCAAGTCTGATGGTAACAATATATACAGTAAGCCCTCAAATTAACAAAACCTTGATTTAATAGATTTCAAACATATGAGATGAAATTCACTGAGTCAGTTGATGGTTACAATGTACAAATAATCTGCATATAGGAGAAAAAACTTATTTAATGGTCCACGTCAGACCAAAACAGCCTCATAAGTTTCTTTCTCCTATACATATGTGAGTTATTTGTGTATTGTTCCCAGAGCCAGATTAAAATTTTTTAGGCCTTTGGGCTACAGGTACTGTGAAGCCCCCAGTGATATTGTCAAAAGGAAAAAAAGTTAAAGAAATATTATATTCAATTTCACAATTAAAATTCAAATATTTGCTTTGTGTAATTTCTTGGAAACCAATTTCTGCAAAATATCAGCAAATTGTAAGTTATTGAGAACATCTCTGGAGGCCCTCCAGCTGGTGGAGGACCCTGGGCTGCAGCCCCTGGAGGCCCTCCAGCCACCAGAGGACCCTGGGCTGCAGCCCCTGGAGGCCCTTCAGCTGACAGAGGACCCTGGGCTGCAGCTCCTAACACCCATGCCTTAATCCAGCTCTGACTGCTCCAGTCATGGTATTGTGCCTTTTTATTCCATCTGATGGTTTCAGACTTCCTCAGTGTTGTTGCGATCATGGAAAAACAAGTGCCATTATCAGCAAGCCGTTACATGACCCCATTATTCCATTAAATCATGGGCTTACTGTATTTTAAAAGACACTCATGATGAAAGTGGGCAAAGTGCTCAACAACTGTCATGCCATTTACCCATTACTGTACCCATTACACATACATTTTCACTCATATGGGTCATGCAGCACCTGGATAATTGGAGGTAATCAGAGTTAATCCAAGGAAAAGAAATGCAGCTCTAATTTCCTGGATTACGAGCTCTGCACCAGCTTCAAGGAATCTTCCTTGAAGGAACCCCAGTAATATATCAAAATAAAAATCAAGTAACACCTATAACCACAGTTGAATTTACAAACTGGCACTTCGAGTAACCATGTCACTTGTAATAAATCAAAGATTTGGACTTCATGTGAGGTATATGAATGATATTCGTCATATAGTGGTAAAGGATACTGCAAAAAATGCAAGAGCATTCGACAATAAATTAGTATTTTATTAGACAGGAAAACCATCCAATGTGATGGAACATGACAGGAAAACTATCCTGTGCGATGGAAAATGACAGAAAAACTATTCTGTGTAATGGAACATGACAGAAAAACCATCCTATGTGATAGAATATGACAGAAAAACCATACTATGTGATGGATATGTTAAGTAAACATAGTCATTTGCTATAATCTTCTAAATGCCCCAGCATGATAGTGGCTTTCTTTGTACTTAACAAATCAAAACTGTAATTATACATTGCAACCTTTGCAAAGAAATAAAATCTTTATTCTTTATAGTGTAGACCAAGGCAGCCACACATTTAAATCTCACGTATGAATAAAAAGTGGTGCTTTTAAGCTGGAAATTCCTCCCTCCCTTCAGGACAAACAAAGATGGCCCACGTTCCTTACAATGCAATTTTTATTTCTTCATGCCATCCAAATAATGAAGTTTACTTGTAAGAAAACATTGGTAGGCAACACATTTTGGGTCTCTTCTCCTTGGACAGTTCCTAAATCAGACAATGATTCTCCTTGAACAGTTCTTAAATCAGACAATGATTCTCCTTGAACAGTTCTTAAATCAGACAATGATTCTCCTTGAACAGTTCCTAAATCAGACAATGATTCTCCTTGAACAGTTCTTAAATCAGACAATGATTCTCCTTGAATAGTTCTTAAATCAGACAATGATTCTCCTTGAACAGTTCTTAAATCAGACAATGATTCTCCTTGAACAGTTCTTAAATCAGACAATGATTCTCCTTGGACAGTTCCTAAATCAGACAATGATTCTCCTTGAACAGTTCCTAAATCAGACAATGATTCTCCTTGGGCAGTTCTTAAATCAGACAATGATTCTCCTTGAACAGTTCCTAAATCAGACAATGATTCTCCTTGAACAGTTCCTAAATCAGACAATGATTCTCCTTGAACAGTTCCTAAATCAGACAATGATTCTCCTTGGGCAGTTCTTAAATCAGACAATGATTCTCCTTGGACAGTTCCTAAATCAGACAATGATTCTCCTTGAACAGTTCCTAAATCAGACAATGATTCTCCTTGGGCAGTTCTTAAATCAGACAATGATTCTCCTTGAACAGTTCCTAAATCAGACAATGATTCTCCTTGAACAGTTCCTAAATCAGACAATGATTCTCCTTGAACAGTTCCTAAATCAGACAATGATTCTCCTTGGGCAGTTCTTAAATCAGACAATGATTCTCCTTGGACAGTTCCTAAATCAGACAATGATTCTCCTTGAACAGTTCCTAAATCAGACAATGATTCTCCTTGGGCAGTTCTTAAATCAGACAATGATTCTCCTTGAACATGTTCCTAAATCAGACAATGATTCTCCTTGAACAGTTCCTAAATCAGACAATGATTCTCCTTGAACAGTTCCTAAATCAGACAATGATTTCTCCTTGGGCAGTTCTTAAATCAGACAATGATTCTCCTTGGACAGTTCCTAAATCAGACAATGATTCTCCTTGAACAGTTCCTAAATCAGACAATGATTCTCCTTGGGCAGTTCTTAAATCAGACAATGATTCTCCTTGGACAGTTCCTAAATCAGACAATGATTCTCCTTGAACAGTTCCTAAATCAGACAATGATTCTCCTTGGGCAGTTCTTAAATCAGACAATGATTCTCCTTGAACAGTTCCTAAATCAGACAATGATTCTCCTTGAACAGTTCCTAAATCAGACAATGATTCTCCTTGAACAGTTCCTAAATCAGACAATGATTCTCCTTGGGCAGTTCTTAAATCAGACAATGATTCTCCTTGAACAGTTCCTAAATCAGACAATGATTCTCCTTGAACAGTTCCTAAATCAGACAATGATTCTCCTTGGGCAGTTCTTAAATCAGACAATGATTCTCCTTGGACAGTTCCTAAATCAGACAATGATTCTCCTTGAACAGTTCCTAAATCAGACAATGATTCTCCTTGGGCAGTTCTTAAATCAGACAATGATTCTCCTTGAACAGTTCCTAAATCAGACAATGATTCTCCTTGAACAGTTCCTAAATCAGACAATGATTCTCCTTGAACAGTTCCTAAATCAGACAATGATTCTCCTTGGGCAGTTCTTAAATCAGACAATGATTCTCCTTGGACAGTTCCTAAATCAGACAATGATTCTCCTTGAACAGTTCCTAAATCAGACAATGATTCTCCTTGGGCAGTTCTTAAATCAGACAATGATTCTCCTTGGACAGTTCCTAAATCAGACAATGATTCTCCTTGAACAGTTCCTAAATCAGACAATGATTCTCCTTGGGCAGTTCTTAAATCAGACAATGATTCTCCTTGAACAGTTCCTAAATCAGACAATGATTCTCCTTGAACAGTTCCTAAATCAGACAATGATTCTCCTTGAACAGTTCCTAAATCAGACAATGATTCTCCTTGGGCAGTTCTTAAATCAGACAATGATTCTCCTTGGGCAGTTCCTAAATCAGATGATGGTGAGCGATACATATTTTCCAGACAAAATGAGACAAGAGGCCCTCCCACATACACACCTCCTATTTTCAATGTTCTGTGTTTTTGTTAGCTGCAAATTGACCCATTGTTCATTATTTTAAGCCCACCAGCAACAGTCACCAGTGGATGGAACAATGGCTCAATTGAAAGCCAATGAAAACATGGAACACTGAAAATAGTAGTAACAATTTAATGAATAATAAATGAAAGAAAATCAAAATGATTTCACAGCCACTCAGTGATCTTTCACAGTAGCCCAATGGTCTTTCATAGTGGCCCAGTAGTTTTAGTGGCCCAGTGGTTTTTATAGTAGCCCAGTGGTTTCATAGTGGCCAAATGGTCCTTCATAGTGGTCCAATGGTTTTTCATAGTGGCCCAGTGGTTTCATAGTGGCCCAGTGATCTTTCATAATGGTCCAGTGGTCTCTCATAATGGCAAACTGGTTTTATAGTGGCCCAGTGATCTTTCACAGTGGTCCAGTGGTCTTTCATACTAGCCATGGCCCCCCTGGCCACTCCCCTCACATCTTCCCATCATAAAGCATCACAAAAATTCACGCATCATACTTTACATCGCAGTAACCTCAATTCTTTGTTGCAGGTGACAGGCTCTTGATCCAGGAATTACAGCTACCCTCTCGCTTGGAAGATCAACCCTCATCACTCACCATCCCCAGGTGCCACATGACCCTCATGGATTTATCTCTTCCTAAAAAAATATAATAAATAATTCTGTAATAAAAAATACCCAGCTCTTCAGCAGGGGTTCCTAAAAAAATATAACACATAAACAAATTCTCGCAGTGCAGGTGCTTAAATAAAAATATTTTAATAAATACTGATATAATAAATTGCTAAAAAAAAAAATCATTCACTCTACTCACTCTTGTCGCATTCTTGCTTCCCTGCAGCATGTAAAAAAAAAATCCACAGTGTGAAAATCTTAGTTACCAGCCATTCTAAATATTTCTTAATGCGGTTTCAGGTATCCACAGAAGGTCTTGGCACGTATCCCCCGTGGGTACGGGGGATACCCTATATTCAAAACTCAATGGTGTGTGGGAAGACCTTCATAGTGAACTCTTAAATTTTGGACAAACAATTACTATATAGAGAACTTTTATAAGATTGTACTGTAAATTATTAAAAGAATATTTTAATTTGCATTGACTTCAAAATGTAAAGTACTTTATTCATTAATGTACTGTATTATGTATGTAAAAACATAACAAAAAAGCATTATGACTGAGTTATGACTGATTTACAATGAGTTATGACTGATTTACAATGAGTTATGACTGGTTTACAATGAGTTATGACTGATTTACAATGAGTTATGACTGGTTTACAATGAGTTATGACTGGTTTACAATGAGTTATGACTGATTTACAATGAGTTATGACTGGTTTACAATGAATTATGACTCATTTACAAAGAGTTACAACTGATTTACAAAGAGTTTATTAGTTATCTCATGACATCTCTAATGCCACATTTATTACAGAAGTTTTTCCATTCTTGCCATATTTAACCTGATGTGGCATTTTGCATCCCTGCTGAAATTTTGGTAAATAATTAATAGTATATATTATGGAATTCTAGGTAGTAGGCTAGTAGACAGCAACCACCCAGGGAGGTACTACCGTCCTGCCAAGTGAGTGTAAAACGAAAGCCTGTTATTGTTTTACATGATGGTAGGATTGCTGGTGTCCATTTTTCTGTCTCATGAACATGTAAGGTTTCAGGTACGTCTTGCTACTTCTGCTTACACTTAGGTCACACTACACATACATGTACAAGCATATACAGTGGACCCCCGCTTAACGATCACCTCCCAGTGTGACCAATTATGTAAGTGTATTTATGTAAGTGCATTTGTACGTGCATGTTTGGGGGTCTGAAATGGACTAATCTACTTCACAATATTCCTTATGGGAACAAACTCGGTGAGTACTGGCACCTGAACATACTTCTGGAATGAAAAAATATCGTTAACCAGGGGTCCACTGTATATACATACATACCCCTCTGGGTTTTCTTCTATTTTCTTTCTAGTTCTTGTTCTTGTTTATTTCCTCTTATCTCCATAGGGAAGTGGAACAGAATTCTTCCTCTGTAAGCCATGCGTGTCGTAAGGGGTGACTAAAATGCCGGGAGCAAGGGGCTAGTAACCCCTTCTCCTGTACACATTACTAAATGTAAAAGGAGAAACTTTCGTTTTTCCTTTTGGGCCACCCTGCCTTGGTGGGATACGGCCAGTGTGTTGAAAGAAAGAAAAAAGATTATGGAATCTAGCTAGAAACATAATGCTCACTACAGTTTTGGAAGAGAAGAGGATATATTTTATTTAAAACTCTCCTACACAAAAACTTCCACGTAAATACAAAAACAAATTTTATTTCTGTATGTAGTACAAAAAATATGTTTATATGTAATAATACATTGGCAGGCACAAAAGAAAGCCGCTAATATGCAATGCATATTGGGCAGACTGATCAGGCTTTCACACGGGTCAGGAGGGTCCACCAACCCATTTTTATATATTCTGAATTGCTGAACAATTCACAAACAGGTGAAATTATTTACAAACATTATTTCTCAATCCACAGCAAGATTTGAACCTGCAAACTCGGCATTAGGGTACACAGAGTACACAGCCAGACTCCAGATCTGGAGTCTGGTTGTGTGGATAAAGTACTGTGTACTCTGATGCCAAGTTCACAGGCTTGAATCCTGCAGCGGACTGAGAAATAATATTCTGAAGTGTGTAGGTCTCTTGATGCGTGTACTGAGAGGAACACTGCATGTACACTTGGAGGGATATATATCTCAGTTTATGTATACTTAGATCCCATACATGGGACTGAGATATTTTTGACTGGTGGTGAAAAAGTGATATGCAGCCATAATGACCATCGTGTGTTGATAGGCTTTAGTTTGATTAGCCAGTTACCAGAGAGGTGACTGACAGATCACTCTGTACTGGAAGACTGGGTGTCTGAGTTGAGATATATTTGATAAAGGGGACTTTATGCTGGTGTGGACAAAAAATCAACTCTCAAGAGCTGTTGGGTGCAGTACATATTAAGAAATCCCCAAAAGTGAACACTGTATACTAATTAATGAAGGAATCCTCAAAATCCATATATAAATAAGGACAGCATAAAAGCCTCTACAAGAGCAGGTGAGTCCATATGTCGCAGATACGGTACTATGATACAAGTACTATGATACTCAAATGCAAAATTACTGTGCTTGCTTGTAGTACCATACTACTAGTGCCAAAAACTGTGAGATAACATACTTTTCATATAGTACATAATGCATAAAAATTTCACCAATATTTCTATGGATATTTTTAGCATATGAGTTTTGCTCTAAGCAGGTTGGGTCTATATGTTACGAGTGGGTAATACAAGATCTTAGCTACAAGATGTTGATTTAATAACCTTTTTCATTTCCCATTTTGCAGGTTTCATTTCTACGTGCAGTGCACGTCTCTCCCAAGCTGCCATTTACAGGTGCACTTAAATCTAATTTTTCTTCTATAGCATCTTTCCTGCAAGTCTTGAAAGACTCTGGCTGAGAGCTGCATGGTCTTCTTATTGTTTGTTCTACTACAAGCTCTTTGTTCATCATTAATTTATCTTCCGATAACTGTTCTAGTGAGGTGTCATGTTTTGCTTCATTAGGACAACACTGCACCTCTTCCCTGGGAGGTTGTTGATAACTGCCATGATCTCGTAGTAGTTCATTACTAAGGTAGACTCTAGCTACCTTACAAAGTTCCTCGACATTTTCACCATCCATATTGCTCTTTGTATTGTATTTCTCTAGTCCATTCTTCAGCTCTTGAAAAAATTCATCACTGTACAAATAATTTATATCCTCTTGTGTAAGAGTACTTTCAAGTACTGGCTTACGTGATACCTGTTTTGGGGGGACCTGCCCCTGATATCTTCTATACTGATATTTCATAGTCTCTTCATTAGGAATTTCTTCATTTGCATCAAATCTGACTACACCTTCAAAACAGTTACTGTCTTTTATGGCCATTGGAGTGTCTAAACGGCCTTTCCCTCTGGGTTTATATTTATGCTCAGAACTCTCGAACAGACCTGCCAGCAGGCGATCTCGGTACGTCTCGCAGGCTGAGGCTTTAACCGTAGTTCCACCAATTAATCTATCTATAGCTTCATCTTCAGACTCATCATCAGTCAGATTCCAAAATCCCTCTGGCAGGTACCACTCACCTATTACACAGGGGAACAAACAGAACAATAGTATGTCTTTAAACAAACCTGCAAATGTATCTATAACAATCAAAAACTTTCCATTAACACCTCAGAACTAAGAAATAAAAGTTATGGACTTGGTATTAAATTATTATCCCTGATTTAAGATACAGTAGAGCACCCGTATCTATGGATTCGGTTTCCAAAGTTTCAGTTATTCATGGTTTAACGTGGCCCAAAAATAACCCTTAATTTTCCTTAATAATTGCCCCAGTGCACAAAAGTAATAATGGCAGAAGTTCTCAAAGCCTAAGAGAAGCTGGGCAGCGTTTCCCATCAGCGAAAATGTGCTAATTCTCAACTTACTGTGCATAATTTATTAATTAAACTTTATCACTGGTATGTATGTAAACGAAAAACAACTTGTATATAAGATTTGCTACTATCCGCGGTGGGTTCTGGAACATATCCCCGCGGATACGGGGAGACTACTGTAATTATCTGGAAAGTATCCACCTGAAATAATTCTAAAATTATCTGAATATACATCATATATAATTTAAAATAAAATTTCTATATATTATGCCATATTTTTTATATAATTAGGAATGAAGTACATACAGATATGTAAATTTAGAAATGATCTTGAGAGAGAAACACGTCACCAATTACAAATAAAAATACACAGTACTGTACTAAATAGCATGAAAATATATTACACCATCATCAATAATTATCTTTTCTTTTTTTTTCTTTTTTATTAACACATCAGCCATTTCCTGCAAAGGCAGGGTGACCCAAAAAAGAGGAAACACTTTCATCATCACTCACTCTATCACTGTCTTGCCAGTGACATGCCGATACTACAGTTCAAAAGCTACAATATATCTTTTCTCTATCTTTTCCCTACAATAATAAATTTTCTGGCTTCCTTTATTTACTGAAGAGAGCTGGCATAATTTACTATATTTATGTCTCATATTTTTAAGCCATCATTTTTTTATAATTTGAAGTCAAAAGTGAATGTTAAAATTTATATAAATTCATTTCCACATTAATTTTCACAAGATATCACACTGAGTAAGGGAAAAAACTTGATGTTTCTTCTTTTCTGAATCACCCTGCCTTAATATATCACTAATTATAAATTTTTTACTGAATTACTAAATGCCTCCAATTAAAAAAACTATACATTCTTCTTCTCATGTAACTGAAAACCACTTCAGTAGTGAAACGCTGAAAAGCAAACCGCTGTAAAGTGAAGCACTGTCAAGCAGGACCTTCCTCTTTTGTCTTAGTGTTTGCTTATGTGTCTTTTTAAGCCAATTATATACTGTCCTCCACTCTACAGAAATAAAGTCTGAGTGTGTTTCAACTTTCAGGCCAAATTAAAACAACATAGAAGAAATAACTAGAGAGAAGAATTGTTATATTACCTACCCAGTTTCTTGCCTTTTGTGTCCATCTTGTTTTGAGACTTTTTTCCTTTGCCTCCTTGAGCAGCAGAATTAAAAGAACATGTTAGTGTAGGGTAAGAACATGTTAGTGCAGCGAAAGAATGTGTTAGTGTAGGGAAGAACATGCTAGTGTAGGGTAAGAACACATTAGTGCAGGGAAAGAATATGTTAGTGTATGGTAAAAATATATTAGTGTAAGGAAAGAACATGTATATAAATTAGAACATAGAGTGAATCCTCAGAATATAAATTAGAACATAAAATGAACCCTCAGTATATAAATTTGAACATAGAGTGAACCCTCAGTATAATGAATTAATAAGGGAAGTGGATGGCCAGTAATAACAGCTGCTGGATAAAGTAATCTTTAAGCATCAGGATTAGTTTGCCCAAAATGGATTTACTGTATTTTATACCTAATAGTGTTTTATTATATATTATGTTTCATGTGCTTACACATGAAATGGGTGTTTTTCCTATTTTCACTGTGGTATTTTTATATATTTGCAATCCTGCATTTACTGTGATTTCTTCTACACTGTATAATATAAATCCACTATCTGGAAAACTAATCAGAAAGAGAAACCGAATATCCTGTACTTGAGGCTCTGTTGAAGATGGCCTCAAATGCTGCCCACAATAATAATAATAATAATAATAATAATAATAATAATAATAATAATAATAATAATAATAATAATAATAATAATAATAATAATAATAATAATAATAATAATAATATCTTTATTTTCTACAAGTACATGTACAAAGTATACAGGCCATAGCTGACATCAATGACATACTACTATATAGAAAGCCACTTTTTATGCAGAGCATTTCAGCAAATTAGGTCAGTTTTGTCCCAGGATGCGACCCACACCAGTCCACTAACACCCAAGTACCCATTTTACTGATGGGCGAACATAGACAACCAGTGTAAGGAAACATGACCAATGTTTCTACCCCTTCACCAGGAACCGAACCCAAACCCTCACCATGTGAAGCAAGAGCTTTAGCCACCAGGTGCCACAGGCCTTTACATTTCTCATTACTTTTCCAGCTACATTAGAATGTACAGCTAGGTCTTGATTACTGCAAGTTCGATTAGTGTGAATTTTTATTTATTGAAAAATTAATTAATGCTGGTTCCCTCCCCCCCCCCCCCAGATTCTTCAAATCATGCACAAAAATTACATATACTAATTCAAATACAGAAAGTCCCTGAATTACAAACACAATGAGAATCTTCTGTATTGTGTATATCATTATTGTGTATAATATCATCATTATATCACTACTGTGTATATCATTATTATATCATTATTGTGTACATCATTATTATATCACTACTGTGTATAATATCATTATTATATTATATTATTATTATTATTATATCATTATTATATCACTACTGTATAATATCATTATATCACTACTGTGTATAAGATCATTATTATATCACTACTGTGTATAACATCATTATTATATCATTACTGTATATATCATTATTATATCATTATTGTGTATAATATTATTAGATCATTATTATACACAATTCAGGAGGTCCCTAATGTGCTTGTAAGTTGAGGACTTCCTGTGGTACAAATTTGAATAATGTGACCACTTCAAGTCCTTTTCTGGGGTTACCTCCCTTCTTTGTTTTTTAATGCCACTAGGACCAGCTTGAGTCACTGGACTCCTGTTGCACCAAAAATCTCTCCAGAGAGCTCTGTTTCTGCATCATCAACACAGCCACTTGATACTGGAGTTCCGCAAGGAAGTGTCCTTGGACCCCTGCTCTTCCTCATATACATCAATGATCTTCCAAACATATCCCAACACCTGAAACCCGTTCTCTTTGCTGACGACATGACTTATGTCATCTCTCACCCTAATCTTGCCACCCTCAACACCATTGTTAATGAGGAGCTCCTCAAAATATCAACTTGGATGACAGCCAATAAACTTACACTTAACACTGACAAAACCTACTATATTATGTTTGGTAGCAGAGTAGGTGGTGTGCAACTTAACATTAAGATCAACAACACTCTAATTGCCAGACATAATGAGGGCAAATTCCTAGGCCTATACCTCGACAACAACCTGAATTTCAGCACCCATATCCAACACATAACAAAAAAAGTATCCAAAACAGTTGGGATCCTCTCCAAGATACGATACTACGTGCCGCAAAATGCCCTTCTCACACTATACCATTCACTCATTTATCCATACCTCACCTATGCTATTTGTGCTTGGGGATCAACTGCAGCAACACACCTAAAGCCAATAATAACTCAACAAAAAGCTGCAGTAAGAATAATCACTAAATCCCATCCCTGGCAACACACTCCCCCACTCTTCATAGATCTAAACTTACTCCCTGTTCAGAACATCCACACTTACTACTGTGCAATTTACATATACAGGACCTTAAATTCCAATATTAACCTTGACCTAAAATGCTTTCTTGATAGTTGTGACAGGACCCAGAGGGCTCCGGTGGCCTGGTGGTTAAGCTCTCGCTTCACACGGCGAGGGCCTGGGTTCGATTCCCAGCCAGAGTAGAAACATTGGACGTGTTTCTTTCAACCTGTTGTCTATGTTCCCCATCAGTAAAATGGGTACCTGGGTGTTAGTCGACTGGTGTGGGTCGCATCCTGGGACACTGACCTAAGGAGGCCTGGTCACAGACCGGGCCGCGGGGGCATTGACCCCCGGAACTCTGTCCAGGTAAACTCCAGGTATAACACTAGACACAAACATCTCTACGACATTCCCTGTGTCCGACTAAACCTTTACAAAAATTCAATGTATGTCAAAGGCCCTAAAATCTGGAACACCCTACCTGAAAACTCTAGAACTGCAGACACATTCATCACCTTCAAAACTACCATTAGAAAACATCTTATCTCCCTGATACACCCCGTCAACTAACTATATAAAAACCACCTGGTGGTTCACACTTACACTCACTCACTCACCCATTTGACTATAAGCACTATTAAAATTTGCATTAAACAAGACTTAGCTGTATATTATGCAGGGTGTTTCAAAGCAAAAGACCCAAACTTGGTCCATTGTTTTGAAACACCCTGTATTAACCAGTATTCTCTTGCTTGTTGAACTTATACATCTTTACATATATGATGTCCTGATCATTTTGGTCGCAATTTGTTTTCATTTACTTTGGGTTGAACCCAAGACTGGAAGCCACTGTTTTACAGTGGCACAATGTAATAAACCCACTGCTCACAACAACTGCCCACAACAATCTCTTTAATTATATATTATCAAAAAGTTTCTCAATATATATAGCTTTCATCTTAGTTGTAAATACATATCATTAGCCTAAATATATAAACAACAGTGCACACCTCTATTTTCATCCATTTTCCTATAAAATAAAAAAATATCTCCATCCCACTACTGATTTCTATTCTTAACCGTTTTTTTTCTATATTTTCTATTAAGTTTAATCTTCAAACTCACCAATTTTAGCTTCAGCCTGTTGGTCGTGCTGGTACTTCCTCCTCGACCGCGATTCATCTCGCTGTTGGTGTCGAAACTGATCCTTGGAAGACACATCAGCGTTATCCAGGTACTCCTCGGCAAATACGTACTTTCGGTACTCGGGGTCCAAACCAAAGTCTTTCAGCTTGGGGGTCCTGTCGTCGTCTTGACCTTTTTTGAACAACACCTGGACATAAATCATATACAATTACAAATGCAAATTCTGGACACAAATCATATACAATTACATATATAAATACAAATCCTGGACATAAATCATAGTTACATTTGAAAATACAAATCCTAATTTATAATAGTATTATAGGCATGGATGCAGTAGTAGAAATATATAATTCTGCATAAATAATTCATTAATAATGGTAGAATTACCGACAAAATGTTAGGTAAACAGACACAAGTGCAACTAGTATGACATTTTCTTGCGGCAATGTTCTGCTCTCCAGGAACTTTGTCGAGTGGCCTGACAAAGCTCCTGGAGTGAAACATTGCCACAATAAAATGTCGCATAATTGCATAGTCTATTTACTTAATATAAAAATCATGTTTCTTTAATATGATTTGTTGTATGACCCTTGTGGGTTTAGTGCTAAGTTTTGATTCTAATAATAATAATAGTTTAAAATGACTTAATACAGTATTCACCAATTTCAGCAAAACATGCTTTAACATCTGAAACCTGCTTTCCAGTTGTGTATGGGGGGCACTGACCCCCAGAACACCCTCCAGGTATACTCCAGGTGTGCATTTTTAATATCAGTTGTTGTGTATGAGTAAATTCAGACATATAACCCCCCACCCCCATTCTCAATTTATGTGTCATGAAATCAGGGACTGGGTGGGGGTTAAACTCCTGGCAGGGAACTACAAATCACAGGCAATGTTTTTACCACTGGACCAGCTGGCTTAATAAGACTCATCCAACTAGCTATATTCTTACCCACAGGAAGTTAGCATGGACCACATTTGACCACAAATGCATTTTTACAGATTTAATCCTACACGCATGGCGTATTGAGGCTCTGGGCCCAAATCCCCTCTGTATTTGTTTACAGTATAATTAAAAAAGGACTCTCATTTTTAAACCATGTCTATTTGAAGCAGTTTAGTAAAGATTGTATTAGTCTGCCCAAATGCACCAATGCAGTGGCTTTTCTTTGTATTTAACAATATTTATTACAAACATTATCTCTTTGCACAGCTGATTCGAGCCTGAAACTTGGCATCCATAACACATACTTTATCCCCACAGGCTCAATCTGGGGTGACGACAGATAATGAAAGTAAATATTTTTACCTGTTGCAAATTGTTAGATCTTATTACTTGTAACAAATTTATTATACTGTACTGCAGAAAAAAAGTTGTTTGTCGTTGATTTTAAAATTTCGTGAGTTATGTGTCAGGATTCCCGATTGGAAGAGTTGCAATGGATGAGCTACAGTATGGGACAGTAAGAAAACTGGATCTCTCGGTCTTCGCAGGTCAAAACCAAGTTATTTTCGACACACAACACGAATGTCTTCTTTAGGCCCTATAAGCTGCTCTCTCAAGCCCTGGGTCAGATACTGTTGAACTTAAATATTACCTGCATTAAGCACCACTACTTTGTAGTTGCCTAAAATTTAAGGTGTGGCACCACCAATAGTTGGTCATGCACAAATTGGTTGCCTTATATAATATAAAATTTCATTTAAAATCTGGAAGAAATTTTTTGTGTAAACTTCAATAACATTAAAATTAATTAAATGATTCAATTGGCAAAATGAACGATTAAGTTTAAATTTCAAAACCTTGATGTCGCAACCCCAAAACCTGAGGTGTCCTCCTGGTGTCAAAATTTAAAAAAAATTATTTTTTCTTATAAATTTTGAAAAAATCTTTCCCGATTGTAATGGGCACCAAAAAAAAACGAATTTGATGGAAAACTGACGGGTTATGCTCTCGCGAAGTTAGCGACCTTTGGGGTGTTTACAAATCGGCGATTTCGCCCACTTTGAGCCTAATTTTCGGCTAATTCCATTGTTCCAGTCACCCAAACTCATAGCTATTTCTTTAGAACTTCATTTTTTCTATCGATTGAATACAAGAAACTGCCCATTTACTGATTTCAACTACCTAATAATGTGGTCAGAAATTTGCAATTTGGCCAATTTCACGAAAACTAAAAAATATGACAATTTCAATATAAGGTCCAGAATGAACAATGCAGACATTCCTGGCTCTAAAATAACGTTTTCTTTGTTCATCAGTCATGTCTCCAGGCCCCTCGGATATTACTCTTGCTTTCTATTTTGAATTTTTATTCAAACAAAAAATATTAGACTTACTATTATGCAGACTACTGCAATGCTGTAATAACTGTATAAATAACATCAACCCATTCATGACTGCATATTAGAATGGCTAGTTGGACATTTATTGGACAATGGCATCATTTGTTTACTTTTGAACATTGGCAAAAATCAAACATTTCCCCTACTTTGAGCTCCATTTCTAGGTTCTTTTTATAGTAAAATAAATCAAAATCACCTCTATTTCTGTAATATGTTTTCCATTCTATCAAATGAGACCAAGAAAACGAGAATACAACCATAAATACTATACGAAAATAGACCACAAAGTCGGCATTTTAATTAAAAAAAACGGTCGGAGTTTTTTTTTTCTCATTATGCACTGCGTGCTCCAGGATTTTTTTTATATGGTGCACACTGACCACACAGACCCATTCTCTCACATGTGGGCCTACCAGCTTTCTCCTGCTTGATTTGAAGCCGCTAGAATTTATGAGTATATATACGTCAAACACGGCACCTCGTAAAACGTATATATACGACCGCGACAGTCAAAGGGTTAAGTATGATTATCATACATAGTGGAAATTACCCACCAGGATAAGATAAGATAAGATTTCGTTCGGATTTTTAACCCTGGAGGGTTAGTCACCCAGGATAACCCAAGAAAGTCAGTGCATCATCAAGGACTGTCTAACTTATTTCCATTGGGGTCCTCAATCTTGTCCCCCAGGATGCGACCCACACCAGTCGACTAACACCCAGGTACCTATTTGCTGCTAGGTGAACAGGACAACAGGTGTAAGGAAACGTGTCGAAATGTTTCCACCCGTCAGGAATCGAACCCGGGCCCTCCGTGTGTGAAGCAGGAGCTTTAGCCACCAGGCCACCGGGCCACCGATAACCCAAAATAATGTTAAAGTGAGTAATTTAAATTTTGAAGCAACTTATTTCATTTCCAAAGCGACTTATTTAAATTTTGAAGTGACTTATTTCTGTTTCAAAGCGACTTATTTAAAATTCAAAGCAAACTACACATCAAACACTAACCTTCATTATGGTGTAGACGAAGAAAACGACGATGCCCACAGTGTAGAGGGGCATGATGATGCCCATGGCCCCGGACCCCTTACCCTGGGGAGGGGGGATGATCCCCCCTGCACCACCCATGGGAGGTCGCACACCAGGCATTGGACCAGGCTGTACAGACATGAAAAATTTATAATTAATAATGCATAAACATCAACTATAGTATTATTTTGTGCTGTATAACACTGTTATCACTGTTATACTGTATAACACTGTTATGATCACTGTTATATTGTATAACACTGTTATACTGTATAACACTGTTATGATCACTGTTATATTGTATAACACTGTTATACTGTATAACACTGTTATGATCACTTATATTACATAACACTGTTATACTGTATAACACTGTTATGATCACTGTTATACTGTATAACACTGTTATGATCACTGTTATACTGTATAACACTGTTATGATCACTGTTATACTGTATAACACTTATAATCACTGTTATACTGTATAACACTGTTATAATCACTGTTATACTGTATAACACTGTTATGATCACTGTTTATACTGTATACACTGTTATGATCACTGTTATACTGTATAACACTGTTATGATCACTGTTATACTGTATAACACTGTTATGATCACTGTTATACTGTATAACACTGTTATGATCACTGTTATACTGTATAACACTGTTATGATCACTGTTATACTGTATAACACTGTTATGATCACTGTTATACTGTATAACACTGTTATGATCACTGTTATAACTGTATAACACTGTTATGATCACTGTTATACTGTATAACACTGTTATGATCACTGTTATACTGTATAACACTGTTATGATCACTGTTATACTGTATAACACTGTTATGATCACTGTTATACTGTATAACACTGTTATGATCACTGTTATACTGTATAACACTGTTATGATCACTGTTATACTGTATAACGCTGTTATGATCACTGTTATACTGTATAACTGTTATGATCACTGTTATACTGTATAACGCTGTTATGATCACTGTTATACTGTATAACACTGTTATGATCACTGTTATACTGTATAACACTGTTATGATCACTGTTATACTGTATAACACTGTTATGATCACTGTTATACTGTATAACACTGTTATGATCACTGTTATACTGTATAACACTGTTATGATCACTGTTATCACTGTATAACACTGTTATGATCACTGTTATACTGTATAACACTGTTATGATCACTGTTATACTGTATAACACTGTTATGATCACTGTTATACTGTATAACACTGTTATGATCACTGTTACACTGTATAACACTGTTATGATCACTGTTATACTGTATAACACTGTTATGATCACTGTTATACTGTATAACTGTTATGATCACTGTTATACTGTATAACACTGTTATGATCACTGTTATACTGTATAACACTGTTATGATCACTGTTATACTGTAAACACTGTTATGATCACTGTTATACTGTACAACACTGTTATGATCACTGTTATACTGTATAACACTGTTATGATCACTGTTATACTGTATAACTGTTATGATCACTGTTATACTGTATAACACTGTTATGATCACTGTTATACTGTATAACACTGTTATGATCACTGTTATACTGTATAACACTGTTATGATCACTGTTATACTGTATAACACTGTTATGATCACTGTTATACTGTATAACACTGTTATGATCACTGTTATACTGTATAACACTGTTATGATCACTGTTATACTGTATAACACTGTTATGATCACTGTTATTACTGTATAACACTGTTATGATCACTGTTATACTGTATAACACTGTTATGATCACTGTTATACTGTATAACTGTTATGATCATGTTACGTATAACGTTATGATCATGTTATAGTATAACGCTGTTATGATCACTGTTATACTGTATAACACTGTTATGATCACTGTTATACTGTATTAACACTGTTATGATCACTGTTATACTGTATAACACTGTTATGATCACTGTTATACTGTATAACACTGTTATGATCACTGTTATACTGTATAACACTGTTATGATCACTGTTACACTGTATAACACTGTTATGATCACTGTTATACTGTATAACACTGTTATGATCACTGTTATACTGTATAACACTGTTATGATCACTGTTATACTGTATAACACTGTTATGATCACTGTTACACTGTATAACACTGTTATGATCACTGTTATACTGTATAACACTGTTATGATCACTGCTATACTGTATAAGACTGTTATGATCACTGCTATACTGTATAGCACTGTTATGATCACTGTTATACTGTATAATGCTGCCAGGTTCCTGCTGGACTACAAATGGTGTATATATCTCAGTGCATATACACTGAGAGGTGTATATATTTCAGTGTACTCACCTAATTGTGGTTGCAGGGGTCGAGACTCAGCTCCTGGCCCCGCCTCTTCACTGAGCTACTAGGTCCTCCCTCTCCCTGCTCTATGAGCTTTATCATACCTCGTCTTAAAACTATGTATGGTTCCTGCCTCCACTACATCGTGTATATACACTGAGTGGTATATATATATATATATATATATATATATATATATATATATACACATAACTCAGTGTATATACACTGATAGTAGATAACCTTTAAATCCTAATACTAATGGTTGTGGAGCACCTGACATCCTCCTTGGATCAAGAGCCCTCTTCCGTAACTGGGTTGGTAGCGAACTCAGCGCACACACTGAGGTCTTTGGTTCGATCCCTGGTACGGGTGCAAACATTAGGACGTGTTTCATTAAGTCACCTGATGTCTGTTCCCTAGCAGAAAGTAGGTACCTGGGTGTTAGTCACCTTACACCTGCTGTCACTGTTCACCTAGCAGTAAGTAGGTACCCGAGTGTTAGTCACCTTACACCTACTGTCACTGTTCATCTAGCAGTAAGGTGGTACCTGAGTGTGTCACCTTACACCTGCTATCACTGTTCACCTAGGTAGGTACCCGGGTGTTAGTGGCCTAGTGTGGGTGGCATCCTGGGGACAAAATTGACCTAATTTACGGGAAATGCTCAGCATAACCAGGGACTTTCTATATATTATGTCATTGATGTCAGCTATGGTCTGTATACCTTGTACATAGAGATTATTATAATTATTAAAGATAAGTGATCATGCCTGGTGATGGTGAATTGGGTATATCATAATAGGGTCTAACCCAGCTCTAAGTTCATTTTCATGCCCATTCCCGAAGGCAGAGCAAGTAGGTTGTTCAGCTGGGCACGCCCCTTCCTTCAAGTGCCAGTGAAGGTGTGTAAGGCCCTCTGAAACACCCATACCCTCCGCATGGGCAGCGCCCCCGTGGGTAGTGTAGTCCTGGAAGTGCCCAGCAGCTTGGGTCAGAAGGTGACGTTGTTTCTCCATCTGTCTATTGATTCTTCGTCTTGTTCTGTAGATCTTGTGGAGCAGCACCTCATCCATGGCTCCTGATGGTGGTACTCTGGGCCTGCTGTGTTCCTGATGGTGGTACTCTGGGCCAGCTGTGTTCCTGATGGTGGTACTCTGGTTATATTTCCTGTAAAACCTGGCCAGCTGTGTTCCTGATGGTGGTACTCTGGGCCAGCTGTGTTCCTGGTGGTGGTACTCTGGTTATATTTCCTGTAAAACCTGGCCAGCTGTGTTCCTGATGGTGGTACACTGGGCCAGCTGTGTTCCTGGTGGTGGTACTCTGGTTATATTTCCTGTAAAACCTGGCCAGCTGTGTTCCTGATGGTGGTACTCTGGGCCAGCTGTGTTCCTGATGGTGGCACTCTGGGCCTGCTGTGTTCCTGATGGTGGTACTCTGGGCCTGCTGTGTTCCTGATGGTGGTAGTTTGTGCCAGCTGTGTTCCTGATGGTGGTACTCTGGACCAGCTGTGTTCCCGATGGTGGTACTCTGGGCCAGCTATGTTCCTGATGGTGGTACTCTGGGCCAGCTGTGTTCCTGATGGTGATACTCTGGGCCAGCTGTGTTCCTGATGGTGGTACTCTGGGCCAGCTGTGTTCCTGATGGTGGTACTCTGGGCCAGCTGTGTTCCTGATGGTGGTACTCTGGGCCAGCTATGTTCCTGATGGTGGTACTCTGGGCCAGCTGTGTTCCTGTTGGTGGTACTCTGGGCCAGCTGTGTTCTTGATGGTGGTACTCTGGGCCAGCTGTGTTCCTGATTGTGGTACTCTGGGCCAGCTGTGTTCCTGATGGTGATACTCTGGGCCAGCTGTGTTCCTGATGGTGATACTCTGGGCCAGCTGTGTTCCTGATGGTGGTACTCCTTGCCAGTTGTGTTCCCGATGGTGGTACTCTGGGCCAGCTATGTTCCTGATGTTGGTACTCTGGGCCAGCTGTGTTCCTGATGGTGGTACTCTGGGCCAGCTGTGTTCCTGATGGTGGTACTCTGGGCCAGCTGTTCCTGATGGTGGTACTCGGGGCTAGCTGTGTTACTGATGGTGGTACTCTGGGCCAGCTGTGTTCCTGATGGTGGTACTCCTTGCCAGTTGTGTTCCCGATGATAGTACTCTGGGCCAGCTGTGTTACTGATGGTGGTACTTTGATTATACTTTCTCTAATACTTTGCCAGTTGTGATCCCGATGGTGCTACTCTGCTCCACTTCCTCAACTACCTTAACAGGAATAAGACCATTGATCTGACTGTATCACGTATCCCGCGTCTTGCAGGTATTTCTATATACAAGTAGGTCATTCAACGCTGGAAGCAACACCCACACAAATCTTCTGCACAGTTTGTGGGTGAATGGACCCAGCTGTGGTCTTACAACTGGAAGGATGATGGTTCTGTGTCCAGCACTCCTTACACAACCTAGCAAGGTTTACATATGTATCTTATTTAATATCTGGCCAAAGGACAAGGTTCAGATGTGCCAAATATAATCCTCGTAATGCTTAACACAAAATATAGATGGATTATCTATCGTCATAAATTCAATTATTATAATACTTCCTGAGAATGCACAGTCGAATAACAACTTTAAAAAGAATCTCACGTTTGCCAGATACTGCTTATAAATCCACATGTCCTCCTGTTAACCATTTTAGGGCCTAGTTCCTAGGTCTCTTGTATATCCATACGCTCTTGCGTCACCGTCCACAGGATGGCTGAGGTGCCCAATGAACCAGCAGCTTCGCTGGCAAAATCTAAATCCACAAAGCCGTTACCAATTTTCACTAAGTGGTAGAGCTTTCGAAAGCTCGCTTTGGGAGCTCTCGGCCTACTACTGATGCTTCCAGAGATATTTTAGTGTCACAGAACAGCAAAAGGCAGAGTAGATGTGAGGAGTGTGTGAGGAACGAGAGACCCCCGGAACTCTCTCCAGGTAAACTCCAGGTAAACTGTAGACACAATGGGCTGGCTGGAAGCTCAAACAAGACTATAATCATCACTGGAAAAGAGTTCCAGATACACTGGGTCGGCTGGAAGCTCAAACAAGACTATAATCATCACTGGAAAAGAGTTCCAGATACATTGGGTCAGCTAGAAGCTCACGCAAGACTACAAAGATCACTGGAGAAGAGCCACAGACATACTGGATCGGCTAGAAGCCACAAACCTACAAAGTTCAACTGAACACATGTCTGGCTTCCCCTTCCCCACACACCTGCTTATGATAACCAACATGAACATACAACATTTACCACGATGTTTCACTCAGGTGGGAATAGGAAGAGCCAATCTGTCATCAGTTTGACGGGGCCCAGGAGCTGTAGGCTAACCACAAGTACTGGTGGTTGAGTATCCAGTCATCAATAATGCAATGAAGACGGAGCCCAGGAGTTGTAGGTCATCCATAAGCACTGGTCGTTGAGTAGACAGCAACAATGTAGACAGACGTCATGCTTGAGTGCCAAGATGGTGGTAGTGGTGGTGGTAGTGGTAGTAGTGGTGGTGGGTATATATAGACACACTTGATTCTTCTATCACCACCACCAGTGTCACGACCATTACCACAACTCTACCACCATCACCAAAACTCACTACCACAACCACCACCACTGTCACCACCACCGCTATCACCACCTGTGGCATGCTAAGAGTATATCACATGTTATTCGGCGTATGTCACAGGCCCATTCAGGCGTGCCCTCCCGACCAGTGAATCATGTGCTAAGAGTATAACGAGTAGGGGCCCCATCGTTATGCTAGTACTTTGATTCAACCAGCCATTGACAAGGAAGCTCACCCAGGTTGTGAAGCGATGTGGTACACTTAATCAACACTGGCAGGCTTATCTCCAAGTCTGGTGGCTATGGTTCTCACCGTGTCTCTTACTTGCTCTGTGTTACTGCATGTATCCTCTGTATATGTTGTACATATTATTACCGTGTGATATGTGATATTTGGTGAAGGAAATAAACATATTTACTCTGCTTCCTTTTGCTCGCTCCACGTTCCTACCATGGATATTGCGCTACCACCAGGTATACCTGGAGAGGGTTAAGAGATAAGATAAGATAAGATTTCGTTCGGATTTTTAACCCCGGAAGGTTAGCCACCCAGGATAACCCAAGGACTGTCTAACTTATTTCCATTGTGGTCCTCAGTCTTGTCCCCCAGGATGCGACCCACACCTGTCGACTAACACCCAGGTACCTATTTGCTGCTAGGTGAACAGGACAACAGGTGTAAGGAAACGTGTCGCAATGTTTCCACACGCCGGGAATCGAACCCGGGCCCTCCATGTGTGAAGCGCGAGCTTTAGCCACCAGGCCACCGGGCCACCCGTTTTGAGGGTCATCGCCTCCACGACCAGGCCTCATGGTGGATCTGGGCTTGATCAACCAGGCTGTTATCAGATGTGCAAACCACTAGACTACATCTATGTTTGTAATACTACCACCAAAGTATTTCTTCTCCTATGCCAAATCAAAGTAGAGAACAACATCCAGTATTGGGCCCCTACTGAAACAAGATGGGTCCTACACAGATGACAGCAAGGAAATGAGTGAGCTACTCAAGTCCCAATATGACTCAGTTTTTAGCAAGCTGCTAACCAGACTGAAAGTCGAAGATCAAAATGAATTTTTTATGAGAGAGCCACAGAATTTGGTTAACACAAGCCTATCCGATGTTATCCTGACACCAAATGACTTCGAACAGGCGATAAATGACATGCCCATGCACTCTGCCCCAGGGCCAGACTCATGGAACTCCGTGTTCATCAAGAACTGCAAGAAGCCCCTATCACGAGCCTTTTCCATCCTATGGAGAGGGAGCATGGACACGGGGGTCGTCCAACAGTTACTAAAAACAACAGACATAGCCCCACTCCACAAAGGGGGCAGTAAAGCAACAGCAAAGAACTACAGACCGATAGCACTAACATCCCATATCATAAAAATCTTTGAAAGGGTCCTAAGAAGCAAGATCACCACCCATCTAGAAACCCATCAGTTACACAACCCAGGGCAACATGGGTTTAGAACAGGTCGCTCCTGTCTGTCTCAACTATTGGATCACTACGACAAGGTCCTAAATGCACTAGAAGATAAAAAGAATGCAGATGTAATATATACAGATTTTGCAAAAGCCTTCGACAAGTGTGACCATGGCGTAATAGCGCACAAAATGCGTGCTAAAGGAATAACAGGAAAAGTCGGTCAATGGATCTATAATTTCCTCACTAACAGAACACAGAGAGTAGTAGTCAACAGAGTAAAGTCCGAGGCAGCTATGGTGAAAAGCTCTGTTCCACAAGGCACAGTACTCGCTCCCATCTTGTTCCTCATTCTCATATCCGACATAGACAAGGATGTCAGCCACAGCACCGTGTCTTCCTTTGCAGATGACACCCGAATCTGCATGACAGTGTCTTCCATTGCAGACACTGCAAGGCTCCAGGCGGACATCAACCGAATCTTTCAGTGGGCTGCAGAAAACAATATGAAGTTCAACGATGAGAAATTTCAATTACTCAGATATGGTAAACACGAGGAAATTAAATCTTCATCAGAGTACAAAACAAATTCTGGCCACAAAATAGAGCGAAACACCAACGTCAAAGACCTGGGAGTGATCATGTCGGAGGATCTCACCTTCAAGGACCATAACATTGTATCAATCACATCTGCTAGAAAAATGACAGGATGGATAATGAGAACCTTCAAAACTAGGGATGCCAAGCCCACGATGACACTCTTCAGGTCACTTGTTCTATCTAGGCTGGAATATTGCTGCACACTAACAGCACCTTTCAAGGCAGGTGAAATTGCTGACCTAGAAAATGTACAGAGAACCTTCACGGCGCGCATAACGGAGATAAAACACCTCAATTACTGGGAGCGCTTGAGGTTCCTAAACCTGTATTCCCTGGAACGCAGGCGGGAGAGATACATGATTATATACACCTGGAAAATCCTAGAGGGACTAGTACCGAACTTGCACACGAAAATCACTCACTAAAAAGCAAAAGACTCGGCAGACGATGCAACATCCCCCCAATGAAAAGCAGGGGTGTCACTAGCACGTTAAGAGACCATACAATAAGTGTCAGGGGCCCGAGACTGTTCAACTGCCTCCCAGCACACATAAGGGGGATTACCAACAGACCCCTGGCAGTCTTCAAGCTGGCACTGGACAAGCACCTAAAGTCGGTTCCTGACCAGCCGGGCTGTGGCTCGTACGTTGGTTTGTGTGCAGCCAGCAGCAACAGCCTGGTTGATCAGGCTCTGATCCACCAGGAGGCCTGGTCACAGACCGGGCCGCGGGGGCGTTGACCCCCGGAACTCTCTCCAGGTAAACTCCAGGTAAACCACCATTCACTATTATCACCACTACCCACAGATGGTGAGGCAAATCACATAGACCCCCATGTTAGTTTAACAGTATAGTCATCCTGTTCTTAGCTTAGTCTACCATCAAAGTCTTCTCAAACATAGGTCTATTATTTTTTATATATACAGATCAATTTTTGTGTCCTGTTCTCAGCAAACTTAACTCAGAATTCACTTGAGACTGGGAACGGATTAAAAATAAGAATTTCCTCGATGTTAAAACTGAAAAAAAAAACTTTCTAGTACAATTAATTGAGAAAGTGATTACAAGTTAATTGTGGCTGATACACGAGCTGTACTTGTTATACACAAAGAATGGAAAATCAGTGTAAGAGAGGTAGCCCCGGGAAGCTGGCTGGATTATATATAATATATATATATATATATATATATATATATATATATATATATATATATATATATATATATATATATATATATATATATATATATATATATATAAACCAACACAATGCTCACCAACGCTTCAGGAAAGGACAAAGCTCGTCTCCTGGCAGTGAAGGCACCACACTCAGGAGATTTCCTTCTAGCTGTTCCCAATTCCTCCTTGGGCACTCGACTAGACCCACAGGCCATTCGGATTGGTGTTGCTCTTCGCCTAGCCGCCCCCATCCTCACCGAACATAGGTGCATTTGCGGCAGGGCGACAGCTGATCAATTATGACTTCATGGTCTCGTGTGTCACACAGCAGAAGGGAAGTATGCCAGACATGAGGAGGTCAATGACATCATAAAGAGAAGCCTCGCCACAGCCCATTGCCCAGCTCAACGGGAACCCCAAGTGCAGAGGTCTGACGGAAGTCAAAAGCGTCCTGATGGAGCCACTATGCTACCCTGGAAGGATGGAAAGCAGATTGCCTGGGACTACACCTGTGCTGCCACATTGGCAGATACCTACTTGCCATACTCTGTAGTGGAAGGGGGTGGAGCTGCCAGCCACAGGGAGAACCAGAAGATCCGCAAATATGAAGACCTTCCTCCTTGCTATAACTTCATCCCAATAGGGTCGGAGACCATTGGAGCATGGGGCAAGCGTGCTCTAAAGTTCCTCAAAGAGCTGGGTGAAAAGCTCATCATAGAAACCAAGGACCACAGGGCGACCAGCTTCCTCTTTCAGAGACTCAGTTTCACGATCCAGAGAGGAAATGCCTGCAGCATTCTGGGCACGCGGCCCACCACCGGAGAGCTGGACGAAATATTTGAGATGTAGCTCTGAGTTGGTATCTAGGTTGTTTTACTTTCTATTGTATTTTTGTGAATGGTTTGTCAATGTATTTTGTCTTTAAGTAAAATATATATTAAATATAGGGGGTGGCAGGAGAAAATTCTCAAACAGCTTCAGGGAGAACCTTGAGTTTTCCCTGAAGCAAGTTTATTCTTTTCTCTGAGGATGAGGGTCCCCAGTACAGTTCTAGAGGCGGTACCTCCCTATATATATTGTGAGGGAAAAGTTCAATAGATAGGAGTAGCGAGGGAATATATAGTAACAATAGTTTCATTGCCGGCTACTTTAATTTTCCTGAGGAGGAGCCAGCCTGAGTAATACTGACTGAAGTTGTTATAGGGCTGAGTAAGCCTTCACATATACATATATAATATATATATATATTATATATATATATATATATATATATATATATATATATATATATATATATATATATATATATATATATATATATATATAAA